GGGCTCGCGGCGCGCGGGGGCGGATAACGGGGTCGGCGGCTGGATAACGGGACCAGGAGGCGGATAACGGAGCCGGCCGGGCGGGGTGCGGGAGAAGATAAAGGGGCGAGGCCGACGGGTAACGGACTCCGGAGGGGACGAGCCACGGGGCCCAGGCTGCAGGGGATCGGTGGGATCCCAGCGCGCCGAACTCGGGGCCCGGGGGTGGCTCGGCGCAGGAGAGGCGCGTGGGACCTGCCTCCCGCGGGTGGGGTTGGGGGCGGTGGCTCCTCGCTCGGCCCCGGATTCGGGGGCGGGAGGGGTATGAGGGAGGCGGGTCCGGCACCTGCGAGCGCGCGTGGACCGGGCACTCTGGGAGCAAAGGACTAATCGTGAGGTTTTCCAACATGCCCTGCTCTACTACCTCTGCTAAATTTTTCTGGTATTCTTGTCCCTGAAGCCCAACACGTAGCCGAGAGTGTGCCCCCTCCTTGGGATCCTTGCTGTCTGACGGGGTCAGCCGCGGATCACGAACCACATGCGTGTTAGTCATTTGTGCAGAGTGCATGTGTGCCCGTGGGCGTGCGTGGCCCAGACTGTGGAGTGTGTGAATCGGTGTGGTTGAAGGGGCCATAGTGTCCGAGGAAGTGTGTGTGTGTGTGTGTGTGTGTGTGTGTGTGAGTGAGTGAATTGGTGCTGACTCTACCAGAACTTCTGGTCCCTCCTCCTCCCTCCCTGATTGCATCATTAGTGCTAATTGAGGGGCTTTCGCACGCCAGTGCATTAGCTGTTTGGACTGAGCTCCCCCCTCCTGGGAGAGATAAGCCGCTGCCCCTCCCCTCCCCCTCCCAGCTCTCACTCCCCCACCACCCTGGAACTGTCCACTCAGATCCTCTCACCTTCCTGGCCACCTTCCTGCCTCCCTCCGGGCCTGGACTGGTTAATGTCTCTCCTCCCTTAAGGTGTCAGATTGGCTGGGGAGGGGTCAGGGAGGAGGAGCGGGGTACCAGGAGGGGAGATTTTCCCCACAGGGGGCTGAAGAGGTCTGGCTTACACGAAGAAGGCTGGGTCTCTCTGATGAGAGGGAACAGAAATCTCTGCCCCTTTGTTCTTTTGGACAAGGAAGGGCAGAGGAAGGTCTGAACCCTCGACCCCCAGCCTGTGACCCCACTCAGGACAGGGATTCCAGTGCTGACTCCTGCGGTCCCCTAAGACTTGGAAAGTTGGGGTCCAACCTAACTCAGCAGGCGTGGGAAGGGCTCCGTGACGGAAGCCATGATTCCCCTGAGTTGGCGGAGTCCGGTCTGGTCCTGTTTAGCTGTTCTGCCCTGCGCTGGCCCATGGCTGCGGGGTGTGGGGGAAGGCTCTGAGCAGATGCCCTCCTCAGCCCTCACACCAGATGTCTTTGGTCTAATTAACTGTGCTGGGAAAACCAACCTGAGTTTGTAAACAGAGCTACTGGCTAAAGTCAACAGGGAACAGCAGCAAACAGCAAACATTTCCCTCACACTCAGCCTCAGTCCAGTTGAGCCCCCTGGGGAAGAGGGGAAGCTGGGTGGATCATGAGGCTCCCCGGCCCACAGCTGAGTCAAGGGAAGCCTGTCTGTCTCTGTGATCCCAACATGGCTGCTGTGTCCTTACCAGTTTCAGGGCCTCCTCTGCTGAGGAGGAACAGGGGGATCTTGGCCACAGAGTTGCCATGCCAAGATGGGTTCTGTCCCCCTTCCAGCGATTTCCCCATATTTCCCCTCCAAACTACTTGATCCCTGAAAAAGCCCTTGTGGGGAGCAGAGGTATTTCTTGAAGAGCTTTCTTTGGGCCTGCTCTGCTCTTGGGTGTTGGAGGAGCCTCTGAGAGTAGGACTTGGCATTGTGGGTCTACAACTCCGAGCTGATGAATATAACCCGAACATTGTTAAGTTTGTTACACATTATGTAAGTATTATAATAACATGTTCCAAAATTAGATAATTATTCCTGTGATATCTTTGCCAAGCTTCAGTGTTTCTGTTATAGTTTGGGAGTTCAGTGCACACAGGGACCTGAGAAATAGTCACAAATGTACCTGCAGCGCACACACACACAGGCCCACGGAGCAGTATCCTCAAACACAGGAACAAAGACATTTCAACTGTCTCTCACACTCACTCTGGCTCTCTCACCCGCTCGAAGACATCCAGACATATACAATCTGAGATGGAAATAGGTTTTTGGACTCCGACAGAAAAGGATTGGATGTTCTGAACAGATTAGGGTTTCTGAACTGGCAGTTCTTAACCAAAATTTGCTTGTTTGCTTTTTTTTTTTTTTTTTTTTCCTTTCTTCCTGGAGTTTGTCCCTCATATCCTCAATTCTTTTTTTTTTTTTTTTTTTTTTTTGCCACCCAGGGAGAGGAATCATTTCAAAGAACTGAGAGACCTCAAATGCTGCAGGCTCCTGGTCTGCAGTCTGCACACCCGCCTGGAAACCTGGCAGGGTCCGTAGCCTGGGCCTCACAGACCAGAATCCTGAGGCCGGTGTTCAGTTTTGAGTCCTCAAGGCCATCTTCACAGTAGAGCCTCCAGACCGGAGTCCTCCCAGCTCCCACCAGGGCTCACACCAGCCCTGAGGCCCGAGTGTCCATGTTAGTGTGAAGGTTCAGTGGTTTGGACACACCATGCTCTCTGCCTCCTCCCACCGCACTCCCCACTCTACCTCAAACACTAACTTGGATACTAGTCTTTTGAAGAAGGCAGATGGCCCAAGAGTCCAAAATGCTAAATTTCTCTGGAAACGTCTTTTAGCTACCCCTTTCCTTCATGTTTCTGTCAGCTCCTCCTAGGCTGCCTGGATTATAACCCCTGCCTCCCACCAGCTCTCTTTACTGCCTGCCCTTTTCCCTCTAGCCCTGTCCTCAACACTACTTTCCGAGTGTTACTCTGCTGCTCAAACCCTGGAGGACAGCCCTACCTGGGCCTTCAGACCTCCACAAGCCGGCCCCAGCCCTCCACTAGCCCTCCTCCCCCTTTCTTTTCCTTCCTCTGCTGGGAGCCAGACTCCCAGGCCCAGTGCCTGACCTTCAGCCGTCATTTCCATGTTCCCATGTTGCCCACACAGTTGTCCCTTCCTGGAATGCCCTCCTCCAGCCTTTCCACTTAATCTTCATGAGGAGCTGGTTCTTCAAGATCTCCACGAAAGCAGTGAGTTATAGACAGTGCTTCTCAACTGGGCACAGAGGTCCCTGGGACCTTGAAGATATATTCTCAGAGTTCTGTGGATTTTTGTCTCCTTCCTTTAAAAGAAATATACAGAATCTATTTCTCAGACCTTGGAAACCCTCATTTAGAATAAAGAGCTTGGGCCTTGGAGTCAGAGAAACCTGGGTACAAAGCTCATGAGCTGAGTTACTTTGGGCAAGTTAGTGACCCTCTCTGTGTATTAGTTTTCTCATTACAGAAAAGGGGGAGTACCTACCACACAAAGTTGTTGAGTGGTGAAATGCAAAAACATGTAAAACACAGGATAAGCCCTCAGTATGTGTTATCTCTTCCTAAGATTAATAACAATATTAAACAAATATATACTCGTGACCACAACATGGTAGACAACTTGGTTGGCTGTAACTCTCCCTAGAAGCAGATATGACTTCTACCGCTTGCCATCCTGGTTCCCACTGGTGAAATCTCTCAGCCTCTTGGGCTCTCTCTGTGCCTGGAATTTTCACTTTTTCCCAATCAGCAAACCAGCGGTTGATCAAAAGAGGCCCCCACCGCCTCCCCCACCCATGCAGTGAGCTGTTGAGGGAAACTGGATCAGGGCCTGGGCTCAGCCTCCGATTAGATACCACAGTGACCGAAGCAGGGAAGGCCTCAGCTCTGTCCTCCCTGGGGCCAGGAGCTGGGGGAGGGGACTGATTCAGCCTAGGAGGAGCAAGGAGGGGGAGGGGTATGGGGGTGGAGCCAGGCAGCCTGCTCGCCTACCCCCACCTCCCCCAGGTAGGAAGTGAAGCTGAGTTTCCAAAATATAAAAAACAGATGATGAAGGTCAGGTTTCCTATACACTGGAGAGCGGGAGCCCTAAGGCAGAGTCCCCAAGAAATTATCTGAGACAGAGAGACAGGAGAGAGAGAGAAAGACAAGACAAACAGACAAAGATGCAGAAATAGGGAGACAGCGACAAAAACCCCAGAATCCTGAGAAAGGTAGTCGGACAAAGAGACAGAGCCGTGGTTCAGGAGAGATGGTTCCACCCGTTTCTGGAAATGAGCTTAGTTCCCCCTCCGTGGGTCTCAGGATGGGAACATGAGCCCTTCGGCTCCATGACACGGTCAGAGGGTGA